CTTCTTCGGATGCATACTGCATCGTGGCTGTAGTCCACGAAAGCTTATGCTCTAATAAATTCGTTAGTCTCTAAGGTGCCACAAGTACTCCTGTTCTTTTTATTTTTGTAACATGACTTCCATTCTTTTCTTCCATTGTTTCTCCCACTCTCACACACATACTTTTAAAAATATATTACTCTAGAACCCAAAAGTGAATGAGGTGTTTTAAAACCACTTAAGAAGAAAGATTCCTGCCTAAAGAGTCTAAATACAAACATTAAAAAATGAAGGATAGAGAGAGTTATTTGGGATGATTTTTTTGGGCCCATGACTAGGAAAGTTTGTTGCTTTCCAACTTCTACCTCCTATCCTGGAGCGGAGCCATGATCTTCAGAGTGGGGTCCTTCAGAGCACTCAGTTTTGGCTTAACTCTGCTCCTATTAAAGTCAAGGATAAAATTCCTATTGACTTCAATGGGAGCAAAAATTAGATCAATGCTGAGTGCTTTTGAAAATCTCATCCTCAGTGCATAAAGGTAGTCTAGGGAACAGAGCCTCCCCCTCCCTTCAGAGTCGTTGGTCCAATGTGACTTTTTCCCTTTATCTCGTCCTCCCTAGTGATTCTGTCTCATGTTTTTGACCCAGCCCTCACCCATACACACACTGCTTTCCTATATTTACTCCCTGATGGTTGTCTCCCTTACCATAGTATAATCAGCACACTTTCCCCATCCTGTCTCACCAAAGCAAGAGTTGGCTTCCCCAACACCTACCCACCTATTGAGAATTAAGTTCTTGTCCCTGTCCAAACCACTGACAGGATTTGGTGCTGCTTCTGTCAAAAAGGCAGTGAAATAAATGTTGATCTGAATGTGATCACAGCTAGGTCTAAGCATGAGTATTTATATGGTTAACAGCACTCTCCGCTTAGATCGGTAAGGAAAATAGTGTGCACGTTTGTATTATGTGAGTTTTCTAGTGGTTTGTAACATTCATTTCTAAATCTTTTTGTCAAGATTTGGCAAAGAGCTCATTTCTCTCCATTACAAATGCTGAACTTCAGCCTCTAAACAAAAAACTTAGTTACCAGAGCGATGTCTTTAAGCAGCTAAGAGAATACAAGACATTAAAAATAGAGGCCATAATTATTGCCCGTATTTATTATTACTGCACACATTTCTAAAGCACCCAGCACCATCATGCTGTAGTTGTGTGACAGACCAACACAAACTACGGAAGAAGAAAATTTCTAAGTCCAAGCATTTTCAAATGTTCCTTTATGCTGACTGTACGCAGCATAATTCACCTCTCTCAAACTGTCCCCTGGCAACAGCTATAAGCATCAACAAAGCTACACCATTCATGTGTTGTCTGAAGTGTAAGGTCCTGAGCGATGGGAATAGCAGAATGTACAAGATTACAATACAGGACAGCTAAATTGATGGTAATGAAAGTAGGTTTTCTATTTTTGTCTGCCTAGGAGTATCATTAAGAAACTTGCTTGTAGATATGACTCTGCTGTTCACAACCAAGAGTTTTAGCAATGAAGAACATTTATTTTAAATAAACTAGTGTGAAAAGAGCTGCTAGTGCAGCATTGACAGGAGATTCCCCATATCTTGCTGTCTAATGTCCACAGCAATATTTTATTACAGTCTTTTCATCTTTTTACAAGCTTGAAACAGCTCTTTTCACAGCAAGTCTGCTGGCTCAGCCCTATAAGACAATTAAATATTGGCCAACTCCTGTTCCTCCCACCCCCAAATCTCGGGGTTTAATTCTTTTTGGTTTTGGAAATCTAATTTTAAATCTGGTTTTGGGCACAAATGAAATTGTTGTTCTCCATTTATTGCTGTCTAGCACAGGGGTTTTTAAACTTTCATCACATGAATCATATTTTAATTGGTACATACACATGTTCCAATTCACAACTTCATGAACCGCCCTCCCGCTCACTTGTAATCACAGAATATCCCCTGGAGCAATGGCAGCAATTGCTTACGTGGAAAAGTGACACTTGGGAAGTTTCAATGTATGTTTAGTCATGTTTAACATAATTTAACAACTAGAAATAAGGAGAAAACAGTTCTGTGCAACCAGCATGCACAGACCACAGCAGGGGAAATTCTGACCTAGTGGATGCTTTTCTGGGTTACCAATTTACCTGACAACTGGCAGTTTCCATTCAGGGTGCCCAGGAATAGTACAATATGGGGGAGTTGTTGGATCGGGAGGAGGTGCATTAGCAGAATTGTTTATGGAAGTTTAGACACTGGGACTGGCTCCCTGCAGCTAATTAGCATACCCTTCTATGAGCTTTCTGACCTAGCATTTTCCTTTCCATTGTAGAGCAGTCTCAGACAGATTCTACTTGAAGACATCTGAAGAATTTTGGGACAAGACTCAGACTACGTCACTGAGAGTGTTACGTTTCAGCTTAGTCTCCTTTGAATGGGATTATAAAAATAAACTGATATGGAAAAGACTTGTTAGACTATTCAGATGACTTCATTCCATTGTCAGATTGTTCCTTAGAGTGCATTCTGTAAGGGCCAAAGCTTGTTCCCCTCTTAACCATAGGCACAGAAGGTCCTAAATGTCACAGAATCACCACAGTTCTACTATGCAGGGAGATCTAACAGAAGAGTTTTAACATCCTCTGTCCACCATTGAGAAATTAAATCCATAGCAGCATTAGGTGTATGAGATAAAGAACGGGGATGGCCTTAGGGTCCATCACTGAGAAATTTCTTACCTGATAATTTTTTGTTAGAAGGCTCTCTCTTAATTCACCACTAATGGGTTAATTCCCCCTCTGTGAAATTCAGAGGCAACCTAATGTTGCTGGAGGCTCCAGGACTAAGCCCCACTCTGCAGCTTAGGCCACCACCAGATTTCTTCCACAGCTACAGAAATACTCCAGCAGCTGATTATTAGCATTAAGACAACTTGATATAATGTATCAATTAACCTTGAGCCTTAGACATGTAATTGTTTTCCTTTAGATAAACATTTTAATTTGTGTTCTACTCATTTACCGGACTATCAGGGGGGTTGAATGAGGAGAAAAGCTGTGCAACAGAAAATTATCAGATAAGAAATATTACATTGTGTTGCACAGCATCTCTCCTCTGTTGTCACTAATGGAAAGCAGAGAAAACACAGCAGCTGTGGATGAAATGATAAGCAGAGTTTTAAGTGGTATAGCAGAATAATAAGCAGTAATGAAAGTTCCCCCCCTATAAGGCAAGGAAGTATGTGGGAACCAACCCAGAAGCACCTCTCTACTGAAGGAGGCCTCTACAGAGAAATGAAAACCTACTTTTCCTCAGTGCCAGCAGGGGCTTCTGTGAATAGCTTCCCAGATGCTTAATGTGCCAGCAGATACAGGATTTTTATATCTTGCCTGCAGCAACTCTAAGGTCTTGGCATTTCGGGTAGAATGAAGTGAGCAGGATACTATTGGTGTGTGAATGCCACATGCTTGAGCTATATCTTTAGAGCATTAGGAATGCCTATTTATGACACAATTTGCCAAAGGAGAGCTAAGGGTTGGAACAAAATGATGGGAGAACTGTTTGCCAGGAATTACTGAAAAAGGCACTTATAGCTCCAGAAACCTTCTGTTCAAGGTAAGAATGACCTTTTCCTCATGACAATAATAGTATTGGTCTTGTAAAAACAGGTGATCTGATTCCAACACCTGCCTTTCAGAGGTAATGGCAACTAGAAAGGCCAGCCACAGGCTTGTCTAACCTGCCATGCTAATTAATCTTGGCATCTGATGATATTCTAATGAAGAGTCTTATGTGATAGGACTGTTACCCACATTTCTAATGGTGCTTGGTTGTAAGACTCCCATCCAGGAGCGGCGCCAGGGTTTTTGCCACCCTAGGTGGCAGCGCTCCTCCTCTGAGCATTCAGTGGGCCTGGGGCCTTCAGCGGCAGGGGTCCTTCCGCTCTGCGTCTTCGGGGCACTTTGGCAGCAGGTCCCGGAGCGAGTGAAGGACCCGCTGCCGAATTTCTGCCAAAGATCCATAACCGAAGGACTCCCCGCCGCCAAATTTCCTCCGAGGGCAGCAAAATGCCGCCCTGGCAAATCCTGCCGCCCTAAGTGACTGCCTAGGGTCGCCTAGTAGAAGCGCCGGCCCTGCTCCCATCTGCCATTCTGGACAAACTGTAATATAGCTGAGATCACCAGTACTTTGCAATTATTATTACTACAATAGCATTTAGAGGTCAGTGCCCCATTGTGCTGGATGCTGCACAAAGAGGGCAGTCACTGAAAAGAGCTTTCTGTTTCCCCATGCACCACACATGTAAATCTGATCAGATCAATGAATGTTATTTCCTAGTTGTGTTCTCTCTGGATACCAAAATGTATCAATGTGGCTAATGGTGAATCAATTCTGCACTACACTTCTCTTCTGATGCACTTAACAGCCTGGGCAACTGTTCTAGGCCTCGATGAAGGAGTCGCTGCTTCAGGGCATCTGGTCTTTTCTACAGGTGCATCATGGGTTCCATGGCTCAACAGGTTTACTATATATGAAAAAAATCTTTGCTCTGAATTGCTGTAATGAGTCTTTGAAATGGCTGTGTGTATGTCTCCTCACTCTTATGGCTTATTAGGATCTTTTGAAAGAAAGTCCCCTTCTGAAGGCGTGACTGTCTGTCAATGGTGGAGCTACTGCTGCACCAACCTTAGGTTCCTAAGACTTATGAAATTTATTTGTTTTTATACAACATTTAATTTAAAAGTGGTTTTAAGCAGAAGCGCTCTTTTGTATCTGCTGTAAGGAGGTAAGGGGAAAAGGCCTGAAGTTGGAAGTGACTGAGCTCCGCTTGGGAGTAGTGGCTAACCAGGAGTCGCAGAGAAGCTGGATGCAGAGGCTGCCTGGCAAACGAAGAGGTGCATAGAAACTGGATGCAGAAAGGGTTCCTCAGGAACAATATGCAAGGGCATGTGTGCAACAGGTTGAGACTGCTGCACATTACAGGTGGGTTCAGGTCTGTGTGGGTCTTATGGGAGAGCAGCAGCAAGAACAGCTGGGCAGGAAGCCAGTGCAGAGGGGTCCCACTGAGACACACTAACTGAGACTGGCCTGAAAACCCACAAGCTCCTATCTCTGTGTAGGAGCTGTTCCTCCAGGGCACATCTAGAAGCAAAAGAAACAATACACAAAGTTAGTATTGTGGGTGCACTCACAGTCTTGAATCATAAAAATTACATACACCTCTTTCTCACTTTCCCTTGGCAAACATGCTGCATGTCAGAGCACTGAACATGGTGAGTTCGGCCTGGGGAGGGGATGGTTGTGCAAGATGGGACAAAGGGTCTGGGTTTCCAGAAGGGGATCAGTACAAGCGCCTAGGGATACTATTCTGAATACTGGCACCGAAGCTGAAATTACACTACTGAGGGTAACTGATGATGCAAGGTGGACCTCCTGCATGTGTGAGGTTTCAGACCGGGTCTGTATGCTGCTCGCCAGTGTGTTACTTTGGTGCCTCCAGAAGTAACTGCTGATTGGCGCGACAAAGTTTCCTGCAATGAGGGAAGAAACAAAGCAACTCTGCCAAGGAACCTTCGGCAGAGAATTGCACAGCATCTGCAGGAAAGTTTCCTAGCGCTCTCTATGGAGGATTCCTGGGAGATCTCAGTGTGCATTAACAAACTTTTCTGCAGGGCCCCCCCATGTAGCTACACAGGGGAATGTGAAGCAGATGCAAACAGTACCTGGTGGTGTTAATTTTGATCCCTTCTCCCACGTGCACCATGTAACAAAATAAAGGAGACCTCTACCTTACGGAACTGTCAGGGGAAGGGAAAAAAAAAAGTACTTACCAGAGCACCGCTCTCTTGCTTCAGACACACTGGAGTCAGACTGCTGGGACTGGCTAGACCCCTCCAGGAGACAAAGAGGTCCTGGCTCACCACGCCACCAGACAAGCCTGGTACCTGTCCCACAACCTCCTCCAACTCGACCTCCTTGTCCACCACTTCACCCTCGGAGTTGACTTCCTGGGCTTTGCCTCCAGTCCCCCCCCAAAGTATCCACAAGGCTCTTGGCAGCAGAGGTGGGGTCACCACTGAGAGTGGTGTGCAGCTCCTTTGAGAAGCTGCACGTTTTCTGCGCCACACCAGAGTGACAGTTGGCCTCCCTTGCCTTCTGGTACACCTGCATCAGCTCCTTGATCTTAGCACGGCACAGCTGCATGTCCCTATTGTGCCCTTCTCAGCCATCTGAACCATTCTATGGCTCAGAGCTGCGACTGCACAGCCTCCTCTCCCCACAGACCGAACAGATCCAATAACTCTGGAATACTCCAAACAGAAGCCTATTTGCTGCAGAAAGCCAACATAGTCAGCTAGGAAGATGTGATGCGAGCTGTCCATACCAAGCAAACAGGAAATGGAATTGCAAAAATTCTTGAGGCTTTAAAGGGGGAGGGATGGATGCCTGCGTACCTGGTGGCAGAGCAGCAGAGAAGAAACTGCTTACCAGAGTGGTCATGATGGGCTTTGTGGAACACCTCCTTGAGGCCACTTAGGGCAACATAAGCAAGCACAGTGTCTACACTGATACTGTGTCGCTCTAACTTTTTCACAAAAACCTGTATGCCGCTCGTTGAGGTGGTTTTATTATGTTGGCATAGCAGGAGAGTTAAATCAGCAGGAGGAGCACTGTTGTGTATGTACCTCAACTGTTTTGTTGATGAAACCTGACTTTTGTCAACAAAACTGTGTAGTGTAGACATACCCGTAGTGTTAATATTAAAATAGGTATTACAAGTATTCAAAAAAGTCTAAACACTAAGCACATTTTTATAATTGTAAGTTGCTGCCTGCATCTCACTTATAACATCTGTATCCCATATTGTAAGGTAATATTTGAGCATTTGCATTGTAAGTCTGTAACTGTGTAACTCACCAGACAGAAGAAAAAGCATTAACTAGTGTGAAATACTAGTCTCCAACAGATGATGTTATGACCTGCATGACAAAAAAAGGTCCATCGACACCAGACAATTTATGGATTAGAGAACAAGACTTTGTTTATTGCTCTCTCTCCCCTCCTTCCTCCCAACCTCTCTCTCCCATGATGAGATGTGTAAGTGAATTCCTCCCATCAGCTAAGTTTGCAACTCAAAGCAGATGGGGTGGGAGGAGGGGAATTAATATAAAGCCGGAACAAAGAGGAACTGTATCTCAGTGCTGCTTGGATTCTCAAGGACAAGGTTTTCTAGGCATAAGCAAGAGATCCCCAGGGTTTAGCCTGGGTTAGCCCTGAAGGACATATAGAGCTTGCTTATTATAGAAGTTTCTGCTACTTCTTGAAAGTTAAGATTGGAACTCATTTGCATGTTTGTATGGTTGCCTACTTTCACCTTGTAAATAATACTAATTTCCTTTGCCTATATAATAAATCTTTACACAGCTCATTATAGGATTGGCTACAAGTGTTG